TGGGACTGTTACATGAATATACACATGTGATAAAATAGCATAAAATTAAGACACACACACACACACAAGTGCATATAAAACTAGTGAAATCTAAATAAGGCGGGTTGATTGTTCAGTGTCAGTTCCCTGGTTGTGATATTGTACTATAGTAATGCAAGGTGTTACCACGGGAAAAGCCGGGTGAAGGATATATGAGAGTGCTCTGTATCATTTCTTACAATTGCATATGAGTCTACAACTATCTTAAAATAAAAAGGCTTTACAGTAAATGAACTGGGACAGTGTTTGCTGGTAACAGCTGGCTGGGCAATGGGATCGGAAGATGATTCCGTCTACTTTGGGAAAGTTATGCCAGAAGTAATAGTCATCATAGTGATTTGAAGTAAATTTCAGTTGAGAAAGCAAATATAGAGGCCAAGACTGCTGAAATTTTTTGTTTTAATGTTGTCTAAAGTAAAGGGACTATTAAGAGAGGAATTGTAGTGGGGTAAGGAATGAGAAAATAGAGGAAGACAGGAAGGGGGTCAATATCAAATGGTTCATTTTCTTTTGTTCCAAGGCACCCTCATAACTGGAAATCCTAAACATGTAAGGAAAGAAAACCACTGGATGTTTGATATTATTAGACCTAAGAATGCCTTCTTATTGGGCACCCCCCTTAAAGGTGCCAAAGCTCAGGCATAGAATTTGTTCTTATAATTTTCTGGGAGGACAAGGCTACTTTTCTATTCTCCTTCTCAATCTCCCTCCCTCTCCCTCCCTCCCTCCCTCCTTCCCTCCCCCCCCATATATACATACACACACACATATATATTTCATAATATATACACATATATTTCACTCACTTTGTTGACAGGTGACAATCTTGACTTAAATCCAATGCTCCATTGAAGGCTATTCTTGCAGTAAAAGAAATTAATGATCCTTAAAATTTGATTTTACAGCAAACCATTCTTCAAAAAGTTTGTAGCATATTGTCAGCATTATTCTTTTGCATGTTCTCATTTTTTATGCTAAGTATTCTACGAGTTTTGTTTTTAGGTGACTAATAGAAATCATCTCATTTTAAGAACTTGGATTTTATTTGAAAATGTCTTTCCAAGTAAATCAGTTTCATTCTAGTGGGAAGATAAAGTCCATTGCCTTTAAAACGCCTAGCGAAATAGTTTTCAAAGCTTTGTCTCCATTAGTCACTGAAATTATTGGATCAATTTGATCAAGTGGCCTTGTAGCACTTAATTTTTATTAGGTATATGAACTGACTTTTCCAACTTCAGTAACCTTGTTATCCTGCACAGTTTGGTGTTCGTTGAAATTTACCTGGTAGCATGCTTAATTGACGTTTTCCTCTGTTGTGACAAAGGTTGATTAGGTTCATTGCCCATAAAATTTAAAGATATGTAATAAATTTCAATTCATCAAAATATTTTACGCCTGAGATTCTTTATTCTTTCCTCTTATCTTCCATTTGTGATGACAGAATTTAACCTTCCAGACCCTGGATTTGTTTCTAGCATATTGCATTCTACAGGGATATTCAGTCAAGTGCAGTGGCTCCCTCAGATTTCCACACTGCATTTTCTCACTTGAAGTATTCTTTGTGAAAAGTGTTCCACTCTTTAAGAATTCAAATTGATCAATATTTATTAATTTGTAAATTATACCTTGCCTACTTTAAAAAGAAGGTAAGATAGCTTACTATAAGATTGATGTAAAGCATGTTTATTTTCTACAGAATTCATAATCTCACATTATTTTTCACTTTAATGAGTTTTTTCCTCTTTATTTTAACAATGTCCCTCCTACTTCCCTTAGGCTGAACTACATAATTCACCAATCTGCTGGGTTCTGCCTTGTATTCTCCATATGATTCACCTGTCTGTGTTTACTCTCTCCTACTAGAGCTCACATTCCTGAGAGGCAGAGGCCTTGTCTTTGGTTTCGAGGACCTCTTCTTTAGTATTTTCAGGGTCCTCAGTACAGACTTCATGTAATTCATTGTTTCCCTATTGGGCCAATAATGAACTAATATTCTTTCTGCTGCCTACTTATTTCCTGGTTTTAGGTAAAGTGTTTAAGCTGATATATGATGTCCCTCAAATAAAATGTGTTGCCTTTACTTTGAAGAGGGAAGCTCCCACCAGCAGCTGTTCACTGGTGGCTAGTTAAGAGATTCCCAAAGAATTCTTGTCCTAAGGGTTACATAGCACTCTATATTATTTCACAACAACCCTCAGAGGTAATTTTCTTTTTTACTTCTGAGGAAAGCTTCTCAGGGAGCTTTCCTGGACCAAATGTGTTGGGTGTGGAAGAATTAGGACTTGAATCCAAGTCGTCTTACTCTAAGGTTAGCATTCATTCCAGTTGACCACATCTGGCTCCATGAGGAAGCTTCTATAGCATCAAGTCTAAGGCCAAAACCAAAAACCCAGACTGAGCTGGGGTTTTGCCTCTGCTGCTCCCTCGAAGCGCTGCACACTTGTGTGGGATAAGAGCCATCAACACTGAAGTATTTATCTGTAACTTCTTGGCACCTAACTCTCCTATCCATGGGCTGAAGAGTCACATCCCTAAGTGCCTCTGGAAGTTATTTTACTACTTCGGGGTCCGTGGTGGCCAGGGGCGTGGGGGAGTGGTGCAGTATAAGCACAGTTTAAGCCCTGTAGAGGCCTGGCTTCAGTCGTTGCTCATTCACACAGTCAAAACCTCTTTTCCACTAGACTGTAAACGCCTTGTGAGCTGCAAGCATGTTCTTTCCTATTTAAGATTTCCTAGGGTCTAACATAGTGCCTGTCACACAGCAACAATATTTGCTGAATAAACAAACTATTTTTGGCATAAAATATAATAATATTCAATCTTTAAAGTTCTGGAATGTCATATAAAAATATATGGACCAAAAAAGACACTAGAAAGTCTTTTCTAAATATAGTCATGCACTGCGTAATGATGTTTTGGTCAACAACAGACCACATATACAACAGTAGTCCCATGAGACCTAGGAATGTAGTAGGCTATACCATCTAGCTTTGTGTAAATACTGCAGGGGAGAAAGAAATTTTCGTCTAACCTTCTAGGTTCTTCTGGCTGGTCTAAGAATTAAATTTACATGAGACATATTAACAGGAGAAAAACAAACAAAATTTTAATAACATATATACGTGGAAGAAACCCAGGAAAACCAAGTAACTCGCCAAAATGGCTGAAGCTCTCACCTTGAATACCATCCTCAGCTAAAGACGAAAGAAGATGTTGGGGGCGGGTAGAGTCAGGGACTTCAAAGGGAAGGAAGGCAATTCACAGGTAGGTGAAAAGGAGGAAAATGTTTGGAATACATGTTTGGCCACACAGTAACAGAAGAAGACAGAGGAAAGCCCAACAGACCAGCTTTTCTAGATTCTTTCCTGTCTACCACCTAGTTCATGTCATGCTAAGGTGATAGCTTGCTTCCTGAGACAAGTTTTTTAATTTGAATTCTTTTAGGCAGGTAGGGGAAGGTAGCAAGAAAAACTTTCTGGGTCTTTTGTTTCTTAAAAATAATCAGCCTAAAATAATCCTCATGTTAAAGAGACATATTTTGGGTTGGCAAATTTTGTTCCTCTTTAGTACACTCTGTGATGGTCCCACGATGACAAAATTGCCGAATGACGCTTTCTCAGAACGTATTCCCGTCGTTAAGCGATGTGTGACTGTATTTTGATATTTGGATTCAATAAGGTCTCTTATAAATTCCTAAAATTAAGGGGTTCTACCCCTTAACTCAGAAAGGTTTCTGTTAAGTCACATCAGACTCAATCTAGGTGGTGTTAGTTATGCAAGACAGAGTGAAAAGAATATTCAAATGTTTATACAAGGTTTATTAAGAGGTTTAAAAATAAGAATAAAAATTTTGGACTTTGTGGGTTTAACAAGAATTAAAACACTTGGTCAATATGTATCAGTAAGTTTTAATATCAGTATTATGTCAAGTAGTCACGGGTAAACCACAACAAAACCAGCTTTTGTGAGGTATCACAATGGCCTCATTGAAATTTTTTCACAAATATTAACTTTAAGAAAGTAAAGACAAATATCAACACAGCCTCTAACCCTTAAACCTTCTAAGCCACCTAATTCAGGTATTAGCACATAGCACGTATACATGCCCTCCCTCATGCTGACTCTCTCTCCCAACGCCATCAAATGACTTTCACTAATTCTTCCTTAGAAAATGTGCAAAAAGGATTTCCATAGAGGTCTTTGGAGATTTCCTGTGTTCTCATGTGTGTAATAGGTTGGGTCAAGTAACAATGAAAGAAGAAGAAAAAATGGGGATTTTGTTTTACATATTTCCCTCCTTCTGGCCATTGAAAGGGAAAAAGAATAAAAAGGGAAATTATACCATACAGATGATATCAATGTTAAATTAAATTAAGATCATATGCTTGGCTGTGGCAGCCGTAATCTTTTGATTATTGAAGAGATTGTTGGTAATGAAGTACATTCGTAAGAAATATTTTTAGTGTATACTGAATACGTGTACAAACTGTGAGATATGCATCTAATAAAATGATAGATTTAGAAATTGCCTGGCACCTAAATTCATGCTTTACAAACAGCTATTTATAGAAAGAAAAGTGATATTTAAGATACCATTGTAGAATATTATAATCTGTGTTATATTACCTTAGATAATAGTCCCATATTTTAAAATAATGTTGTAAACCATTCAATTATTTATTCACACCTAAGTTCTATAAATTGGAAGATTTGGGGTTGTGCAGGAAAAGAATTATTTTTATGAAAATAAGACCTCACTGTCATGGCTTAAAGAGATTGCTGTGAAACAAGTTATACTATAGATAAAAATAAACTAAACCAATATGAATTTTTAATAAACAAAAAAATATTTTATGGAGACATTAAAAACAACTATTAATTTTAATCTTTTCTGTTATGAAATGAAACATCAGTGAATCTGGTCTCGCTATAAGTTTAATACGTATTTCTCTTCCTGATAGGTCCTTAACTCTTACAGTAAAATCTCTACAGACCTGGATGATGATCTCAGCCTGGGGAGAGCCTATGAAGCAATCGCCAAGGTCCTGCAGAGGTAAGTTAGCACATCCTTGTCTTGCTGTCACTGTGAATTCACTCAACTGTGAAAGACTTAAATTGTTTGAGGTCTGTCGCTTTCCATTACTGCCTGCTTAAATTTTAAGCAGTGACCTTCTTAAGTGACCCTTTCATAGTAAGTTATTTTAAACCAATGTGGTATTTTAAGATATGCACCTAAACTCTTTTTTGTCTGTTCCTCCTTTGTATTATTTTATTTTTGATTTTCTGTAAGTTTAGTGATGACCTTGAATGAAAGGGAAAAATCAGGTCACATCTCGCAGGTTAAAAAAGCAGAGAGCACAGAAATATATAGTACGCTTCAGTAACTGTGGCTCACCGTAACCTTTCCAGATCCCTTCTTTGAGGAAAGTTTCCATTTATGCTTCAATCATACTTCTTCCATTAAGACATCTCTCCTTTGAGCATATCTGGATAAAAAATTGGGTGCAAAAACAATATTCCCAATATTTCATTTAAAACAGAAAATGTAACAAAAGTACACATGAACAACTTCTGATACAAATTTTTCCAAGAAAAAGATATGATTTGCCCCTCACTCGTTGTATTGTGATCATTGTGTACACCATTTAATTGTTGCATTATATAGTAGCATTATGATTCAAGTCAAGATAAGATAAGAGTAAGAAAAGTTATCAAGGTTAAAACCTTGGCTTTGATATATCTTATATCTAAAAAATATAGCTTTTTAATAATGGTAGTACTGGTAATAATGACAACAATAATATAGATTGTGTCAAGTTCTAATTCCTTCCCATTTGTATTTCAGTTATAAACACACACAGGGGGTGTTTTAGAAGGTAAAATTGTTCTTCGAAAGGCATTTAATGTTTTAAATGTCTAGTGAACTGTTAAGTGGATCCTCATGATATAATTACCATTGCCCATATAATAATCATTAACTATTAAATAAATAATTAATTGAATATTAAAATACCAGTACCAGCAAAATGAAAGGTGCCCTACAAAATAACCAAATAAAATGCAATGCGGTCATCACTGGATAAATGGTTAGGGACACAGACATATTTATAAAGAGAGTATGGACGTTTGCTCAAGGAAGGAACGGCCAGCCGTGGGTAAAGCAAGCAACCTGTGAGTGTTGTGGTCCCTTCAAATAAAGATGGATACCTAGCCCATGGAAGATCAATCCAGCTATTCCTTAAACTTTTACTTTCCAAATAATAACCGGAAAGAAGCGGATGTTTGAACACAGAAGAGATTCATAAGTATTCAATTTAATGTCTGTTTGGAACACACTGACTCTGTGCCCTTTTGTCCAGTTCATTTTGATTATTAAATTACTTGACTCTGCTGCTAACACTGCCCAGCACAAGTAGAAAATGGTTGGCTTATTTTTCTTGCTTTGTGGTAGCAGACCTCACCGAAGCCTGCACAGTTAAATAAATGCATCCCTCAAGATAGTTATTAAATAATTTTTACAAAATGGTATTGTGTCCCAGCATAACTAAAGAGGTAAAACTCCAGGGAAAAATATTTTCTTTTATAAATATAAACTGAGTACCTGCTATGTCACAGGACAAGACAAGTGTTGGAATGCCCCTTTGGTTACTGATAGTCTTTATAATTATTTTTGAAACTTCTGGAGACATGAGGTTATCTTAAAATAATTCTCAGCTGTTCAGCTTATTTTGCTTTGTGGTAGCAGTCTCACCTGGAATATTTTAGCCTCCACTCCAGGATTTGAATTCCTGGTCTATACACTAAAATCTAAGGGAATATCTGGTAAATATTGGCAACAACAACAACAGGCAATCTCGTGTTTTATTATGGCTGGTTAAGTATTATTTGGGGTTTAGGTGTAGAAAAGGATATAGCTATATTTGATATCTCATGAAGCAGGGTGTGTTTTTGGTAGGAAAGGGGATGATTTTATTCCAACACTCTCAACAGTCTAGCAACCTGCCTTGGGGCAAACATATAATGGGCAATAAGATTTATCCCCGTCTCACTTTTATACCAAATGAAATGAACTCCACTTATAAGAATGCCCATCTACTAAAGTACCAACAAAGCCATCAATTAAGGATTTGTGTGTAGACATGGGCTCTTAATTTTATAATGTTATACAATGCACAAAAGAGTACAGGAGATGCTTCTTCTAAGGTCATAGGGAAAAAGTGTCCCTGGGCCACAGCAAGCTTTCCAATCCAAAGCTGCCATTTTGCAGCACTGCTGGTGGTTGTGGAGGTGCGTTCAGGGAAGTTTAAGCCTCGGCACATTCTCACCGTTTGTGCAAAATAACTCGAGACAGACAGATGTTTCAAAAACAAAAATTCTATACAGGTAGACAACAATACCCTAGATATCTGAGAAGCCTTATTAAATTAAGTCCACTAACTGCTAGAAATGCTTTGATATAAATTTTATGGTCATTTTTAGAAAATTTTGCTTCAAGGGACTGGTGTTCTTTGATACATGCATGCATGTGCACGCTCACACACACACGTATAGCCCTTTCATAGTCTTTAACTGTCCTCAGCTTGGCGGCAACATGCAGGAAATGGAGCACAACCAAAATAGAAGACTTTATGGTGGTGGCGGCTGAGAAATAAATCAAGCTGCGATGAAGCCTAGCATCACCTCTAAATCTCTTTTTCCTAACCTGTGCAATTGCACTAGTTTCACTAATGGTAGCCCTGTCTCTATAAACATATTATCTCTTGAAAGGAAATGGAAGAGAATAGCCACGTCTAGGATAAGTGTGTGTCTAAGGCCATCAACTGAGTGTACATGAAAGGTGAATAAGCTCCAAGGCTAGAAGCTTCTAAAATGGTTATATCAATTTATACTGAGCCTTCAACTGAAAAACACGCCACATTCCCTCAAGACTGAGGACTTGGTAATACGGAGTTGCCCATTTGGTAATGCTAGACCCAGCCATGGCATTAGAGTTACTGATGAAGGTTTTAATAGTGAACAGGGTTTGTTACTTTTGCTATTGGTCTGAATAATATTAATTGCACAAGGGTTTAAGCAGTGTAACAGAAAATAAGCATTTACTGTGTCTTTTTTTCCCCTACTTGGAATACTAGTGAAAAAAAAAGAGTTGATATTCTAAAATGATAATAATTGCCTATGATACAGCTATAAAAGCCAGAATTATGATATAAAACAAAGAAAGAGTGAGTTGAGAAATTACCAAGTAAATATTGTTATTATATAGACAGATACTTTGAGTAAATACGGAAGGAAAAAAAAATCCTCAATTTTCCTTATGGCATTTTTTTGGCTTCATTTACTGAAATAACTCATTTACTGAAATGCCACAATTCTCCAAATAATCAGGATGACTTTTAAAAAGAATTTAGGAAAAAAAATCACAAAAAGGAGAGTTGTTCAAGACCCATTGGTTACAACTAGACCATCTCTGGGTTTATTCCATGTCAGTTGTAAATTTTCTTGCAAACTCGGTTTAAATTATTTCCTAGAAAACTTTCCACAGTGGAGATCTTTAAATCAATCTGTACGAAGTTTCAAGTGTGAAAATTACCTTTCTGTTATAGCTGAAAATTAATTTCTTCTTGCTTGAGAGAAATGACATGCCCTAGTAATTTTCATATGTTCTTTAAAATGGAACATCCAGGCTTTGATGTGAAATTTCCTAAAAATGACCCCAAAAAATACATCAAAACATTTCTATTAATTCATGAAATTAAGAATAGCTTTTTACATTTTCTCCTATCACTGATTCCATTTGCCTTATTACTTTCATCTGTGGCCCACAAACTTGGTGGCACAATCAACAAACCCCTTAGTGGCTGTTTCATCTCTGCTCTATTTGATTTCTTCTCTCTGAGTAAATGATTAAGTTTTCATGCATTGGTTCAACCAAAATCTATGTTCACTCAACCACATCCTTTATTGATTACTTCTACCGCAAACAGTAGGCCAAGTGTGATATACATAATTGGACAGTTGTCACGGGATGTGGGTGTTAACAGTCCTGTTTTCCCAGTTGGAAACTGGAATCACCTTGATACACAAATATTCTGCACTGTTTCATTCTCATTCTTTGGACCGAGGAGTCCTGTTCCTCAGAATATATGTTTTTAACTCTCTAAGGTCTGGTTGAATGAATTTAATGATTATACCATATAATATGCTGTTCAAGTTGCACCTGTGCACTGCATATAGAAAACTGGAATTAATATTTGTCTAACATTTTAACCTTGTTCTTTAACGTATACAAATAATCTGTAGCTTTTCTGGAGAAAATATTTGATTTTTTCCCTTCCAAAGAAAGACTGGCTTCTAAATCTAAAGCTAACTTTTAAATTTGGAAATCCTTTAAGCAACATAGAATGTTTACATTTCAGATGCTATATTAACAACTTTGCTGGCTATAGAACTATATTTATTGAGTGGAGCATATAATTTATACTAGAAAGACTTTTTCTGTAGCATTATTTGTTAGAGCAAGTTTCAGATAATTTTGGATGTTTTGGAGATCTGTTGCTCCTTTGGGAGAAAAACAACCCGCTCACCCAGCAATGGTTTTATTTATACTATTTTGTATTTCTTGTTCACCAAACTTGTTTTTTTGTTTGTGTATGTTGTGATTTAACAATCCTCAGCAGGCCAAATCTAATTCAAAATGTACTTGCATCAAAAACATATCAGCTTTTAGGAACATGAACATAAATGAGCTTCAGTGAGTCCATTTTAGCTAAATAAAAATAGTATTTTTTCCCTAAGGTTTTAAAGTGATATGCAAAGAAGTCTCTACTTTTTTCTTATTTCATCAATTTTTTTCTTGAATGTTACAGTCCAAGAAAGAGCTTGGAGAGTTAACATCAATTTGATGAAACATTTTTAGTCCTAGAAATCCACAAGTCTGCTCAAAATTCTAAATAGTGTACTATTTTATTTATTAATATTTTTATACTCTTGATCTCTCTCAATACCATTTTAGTTGTTCCACAAAACAAATACTTAAAGTAATGAGTGCACCTC